TTGCAAACGTCTCATTGCATCACTTTAGGAAGGCTGTGATGTCAGTTTCCCACTAGTTGTGAAGATATTGATCCTAGTTAAGGTGACAACCACCATTTCTCCATTGAGATACAACTTCCTTTCTGTAAGTAGCAAGTAATCTGTGGGTGACACTTTGGGAACAGGTGACTCATCTAATCTCCAACAACCTTTCATCCAACAGTAGGAGCATCCATGGAATATCCTTGCCTAGATCTGTTAATTAGTACCCTGGGGTTGGGAAAAATAGGGATTTTCTTGTCATTGTTTCTACCTGAATTGTTTGGCATTCTTATCCAAGAGGAGGTTTTTTTCTCCTTGTTTTCTATATCCCATTACCTTTATCCTTCCTTCCTTCCTTCCTCCTTCCCTTCTTCCCTCCCTCTCTGGTGGTTCTGGGGGTTGAACTCAGGGCCTTATGCTTGCTAGGCAGGCACTCTACCACTTGAGCCACTCTGCCAGCCCTTTATGCACTGATTCTTTTTGAGATAGGTTCTCACTTTATGCCTATGCTACCTGGACTGAGATTCTCCTATTTGGCTTCCCTGTGTAGCTGTGATAAACAGTCATGCACCACCACTCCAAGTCATTGATTCAGATGGGGTCTCACAAATTTTTTGCCTGGGCTGACCTCAAACTTCAGACCTTCCAATCTCCACTCCCAGGTGGTTAGGACAATAGGCTCAAGTCACAGTGTCCCACCTTATCACTATTCTTTCTTGAACTCATATTTCCTAGAATCTGGCCAGCAGCTACCCCTTCAAGCCCACTGCCGTAGCTTTTTGACATGACACCACTAGTCTTTAAGCATCTCTGTACCTTCAGGTGGAAGATGGCCTGAGCATGCCTTATAAGTGCCTGCGTCAGACCTAGAATTGGTTGATTTTTCCAAGAGGCTTTTAGTAGATAATGATACATAGAAGCCAAGATCTTATCACCGGGTGCACTCATAGGTAATGAGGGTGTTTGTGGTAGGAAGGAAGTCCTATAAGCTACTAAACCATTTTAATGGACAGAGATAACTACACACACACACACACACACACACACACACACACACTTTTAAACACATATTTGCATCATCTAAATTTTTATTTCTGACTATTGATGGATATGTTATAACTTGTTTTATTGGTTTACCTGTTGAAGCTTTTTGGCTTATATAAATGAAACTTCTATGAACATTCATGTCCAAGTCTATGTATGGGCAATGCTTTATTTCTTCTCTTCTCTTGGGTGAATACCTAGGAGTGGAAAGACTGGATTGTATAGTAGGTATGTGTTTAATTTTTCAAGAAATTGAGAAATAGCTTTCCAAAGTGTTTAGAACATATACATTCCTATTAGCAAGGTAAGAGTGTTCTAGTTCCTCTACACTTTGCTGACACTTGCTTGGATCAATCTTTTTATTTTGGACACTGTAATAGGTACATAGGTTGTGCTTTTAATTTAAATCACTGTAAGGACCAATAAGTTTGAACTTCTTCTCATGTGCTTATTTGTCACCAGTTCATTGGTGATGTATCTATTTAAATCTTTTGCCCGTGTTTACTACATAGTTTGTTTTCTTATCATTGATATTTAAGAGTTTATGCCCTTAAGTTTTCACCTGCACAGTTAAACTAAACAACACTAAAATCAATCAGTATCTTCATCTACCTCGTACACAAAACTATGACCTTACCTTCCCTCATTTTAGATTTTCTGCTGTTGTAAATTTTAGTGCTCCTTCATTTCCTCCCCCAAGTACCCAACTCATTTCTTAATGAGAGAATAAGGATTATTCTCTCCTTTTGGAAATGTCTGAGATCTTCAATGTATTGTTCATGTCTCTTAATTACTCTTTCATGTTTTCCATTTCTTTATATCTCTGTGCATTCTGGGAAATTTCCTCATAGCTACCTTCTTATTCCTATATCTCTCTTGAACTGTGGCAGGGAAACTATTTTATTTATTTTAAGTTTTCTTTTTAATGACTATATTTTCCATTTGTAGTAAGTCAACTTGATTCTTTTTCAAGTTCATTTCTTTTTTCCTTAGTGTTCTGATCTTTTATCATGGCTTCTGGATCTTCTTTTATTTCTATTTTTTCATTAAATAATCACTTTCATATTGGTCTGCTATTTGTAGTTCTTTGTTTCTACTCACAGGTCTTGTATTTTTCCCCCTCATGCATGGTGGATCGAATCCAGGGCCTCATGCATGCTAGATGCTAGGCAAGTGCTCTACCACTGAACCATATCCCCAGTCTTGTTTCCTCAGATCTTGGCAACTCATTTTTTTTTGTACATTCATCTTCTGTTGGTGTTGTTTTCTCTGTGGTAATTCCATGTATTCTGGCCATGAAAATGCCCCAGGTTTTTTATTTTGGCAGAATCCCAGGGGTTTAATGACTTTGAACCAGATTTTGTGTTGATTTATCATTGTGATTCCCATGCAATACAGGTAACACAAAATTAAATCCCATCTCTGGTATAGGCTTAGGGTTTGATTTCTCCCATTGTCTTTTTATTTCTTTTCATGTAAGGCTATTAGAAGAACATGAGCTTCCCTGAGGATTTTATTTGTATAGAGGCTGGGGTGGCAGGGTGGGGGGTGTCTTCTGATTTCCTCAGAATGGCAGAAATAGCTCTTAGAAGAGTCAGGTTCTGTGAGGGATGCTAGCCAGGATCCCCACCAGCTGCAGCCCAAAGCCATGTCTTCAGATCAAGCCTGAGTACTAGAACCCCAAACTGCAGCTCTTACAGCTTCTGTCTGTTCAGAACTTAGGGAACCCTAAATGTAACACTTCTCTCTGATCTACTTTAATTTGGAATAAACCTAGAGACAGATGCCAAAGTCAGGCATGGATCAGCTTTTCACCTTTACTGCAACAGAGCTGTTTAGAGAACAGAGCTTGGGTCTTTGGCAACAATAGTATTACAGCACTCTTTATACCTAGATTTCCAGTGGCAGAGCCTGTTTCTGAGTTACCTATATAACCTAAGGCAGATGAGAAGGCATAATTTCTACAAGTGGACAAGTACAAAAACAGGTTGATCTAAAGTTATGTATGTAAAACTGTCTTTGTTATGTCTTATCTAACATTTCTATATTTGAGGTCAAGAGTATTGGCCACCATGTTGAGAGAAGTTCCTCCAAAGAGCATTTTTTTTTTTCACAAAGGAAACAGGCTGGCCTTATAAGGCAAAATTTCAAGGTGAACAGGTTATTTTTTGACCTTTTTGCCTAAGACTTTTCTAGACCTTTCAGATTGCATAGAACAAAAACTACTTCCTAATATTATTCTGCCCTGCACTAACAGTAATAAAATAAGCGTGATTAAAATGTCAACATGTCCAAATGTGTTTGTATTGAGGTTCATAGATAACACTTCAAAACACACGCAATAAATGCAATTTGAACTCTGTGCCTTATTTCTTATATCTTGCATGATGTCATTTATACTCTCAGGCTTGTCTCCATTTATCATTTGTGATGTAGTGATAAAGTTATGGTTTCATCAAAGAATGCCTTTATAGCAGACTTCTTGAAGACATTTGAAAATACCCCATTGCCAATAGTTTTTGATGCTACTGCTTTTTTTTTTAATTAGGATATATTCATTGTACAGGGGGGGATTCATTGTGATAATTCCAGATAGGCTTATACTGTTTATTGGTTAGGTCACTCCCACTATCTTCCTTCCTCAACCCCCTCCCTGCCCCACTTAAAGCAATTGAGAGAGGTTTGATTGTTCTTTTTCATGTAAGTATATGAAGTCCATCAACCATATTCCCTCACCTTAATCTCCTTCATTCACCCTGCCCTCTCCCACTTATACTTCCCTCCCACTGTACCTACTTTACAGTCCTGGATGTGACTGTTTTGTTCAGAATGAATTTTTGTTTAAATAAAATACAGTTTTTACAAACAAGAGAAAGCTTCCATCTACTATAAAAACAGTAAGAAAGTATGTTTCTAATCTTTTGTGCATTTAGAATAGAAAAATCTCACTTCTTTTCTTCTATCTTTATACAACAAAACAGAGCCAGCACCAAATTTCTGCTCTGTTGAGCTAACTGCCAAAAGTAATCTTGTGGTTATTCCTGAAAATGGCACAAACAAAATTGCCATTGACTTTCTTTCAAATACAGAAAGGCGTGTATCTCAATCTCAATTTAGCAATGTAAAATAAGTAGTTATTTTCACCGAACATTTACTTTGACACAAACTGTGCAAACATATTCTACGTTCAGTCAGCTCCTCTCTAAACAGTAGCGCAATTCTTGACCCATTTTACAGATTAGGAAACAGGGGTATCCACAGTTTATTGGCACTCATGTGACTATTGCATCGTTTTGATGTTTAAACTATCTACCTTATTTGCACAAATATCTGAATTATGCAAGCTGCAGAAATCCTGGGTGGATACCAAGATATCTTTCAGATATTTTACCCTTCAGGGTGGCAAATGACCTTGCAGATCTATTGTGAATTAGATTTCTTAACTGTTTTTGTGCCACGGATTTCTTTGGCCTTCTGACAAATCGCATAGGTCGCTTCTCAGAATAATGTTTTAATAGAAAGAAGAGAATTATATTAAAACACAGTTCTAGCATCCGACCCCTGAGATTTTCAAGCATTTGTGCTCTGCTCATGTGCTCTCCCAAATCTTTCAGGGAGACTTATCTATATTCTTCAGAAAACTAGAGACCCCACGCATATTTGCATATGTGGGGAGGAGTATAGGATGCGCTCCTGATAAGGTGGTCTCCAAGGTGACATCAATCACTGTAGTCCTTTCTTTTTCTTTTCTCTTCCAATAGTCTCCCCACTTCTCTAGTCCTTCCTTCTTTACACCGATCAACACCAACTTTTCTCTACTTTTACCTTTGCCATCCTCCCCACTCCTTGCTTAGCCCCACCCACTTTAGGTCCTCCCCTTACGAAGCCCCGCCTTCTTCTCCGTCCCCTGCCAATCGGGCTTGGGCCCACCTGTCACCCCGCCCCCGAGCCCGCTCCTGGCCTGCTGGCAGCGGGCGCCACAGGCGGACGAGCCGCGGCTGCGGAAGGATGGCGCGCGCGCCCAGAGGCTTCGCGGCGGACCAGTTCCGGGAGGCCTGCGCCGAGCTCCAGCAGCCCGCGCTGGCCGGGGCCGACTGGCAGCTGCTGGTGGAGGCCTCGGGCATCACCATCTACCGACTGCTGGACCAGGTATTGGCAGCTGTCTGGACAAGGGCAGGGATCGGGCCCTCCTGCCCGCTGGGCACGGGCTGCAGTTGCGGACCGGACCCCGCGGACCCGACCCGACCCGACCCGACCAGGCCCGGCCCGGCCCGGCTGGACTCCGCAGGTCCCCTGCAGCGCGGGATGGGGCTTCTCTGTCACTTTGCTCCGAGACGATCCCGGGGAGTTAGAAGCTTCTTGGAGTTCAGGGTCAGGTCAGGCCCTCCTGCCGAATTTGTAGGTTATTTTATTTACTCAAAGCCGTTTGCGGATAACCCAACAGTCCTGGGAACAGGCAGGGACTATATCTAATGGCCAATGGATGGAGGAGGGGGATTTAAGTCTCTTAAGGCACCTTCTCCCAGCAGGTCTGGGGTCTGGACTTTTGCTGGAACGAGGGAGGCGTGGTATGCACGCTGACGTCAGAGCTTTTCACGGAAAAGAGAGATTTTTAGGAATCAGGACGCTACTTTTCTAATTTGGGTATGGTCGGATCAGGCGTGGTGCCGTTACTTTTTAAAATCATTATAATGGGGTTCTAATGAGTCCCACGTCCTCTGGAGTGTCAACATAAGGTCCGACCACATGTAGCCACTGTGTAGAGTTCCCTTGAGCATTTGAAACTGTGATCACTGGGCGCCAGCAGTTGGGGCATGCAGCTTTAATTTTCACAAGCCAGTAGCATTTGGAAACAGTTGATAGGACAGCAGGTGATCAGTGATTTCGGGGTTCAGAATGATGACAGCCCAACTCCGGAAGTAGTTTGTTAGAAGGAAATTACGGTTAAAACGTGGATCAGCTGATTCCTAGACCCATGGACAAGCTTGCAAAGGACATGAGTCCCCCTCTTCCTAGTGGGTGGAAGGGGTGTGAGAGGCCGGAGGACAGGTGGTATCTTGGGGCTTAGATGCAGGTGGAAGAGACAGGCCCTCAGGGACCAGATGTGCAGAGCTGCTCAGAGGGGAGCTATTATGCTCTCCAATCGTTTAGCAACCTGCTTCTTTTGGCTTTCCTTCTAAGTTGCACTTAATAAGTTAATTTTGGAAAATTTTGGCAGGAAGATTAACTACACAAAGGTGTAGGAGGAATGGAGTCGGTCATTAAGCAATTCTCAGTGTTTTATTGTAAGCCTCCGGAGGCAGGGAGTCATCCAGTGGGAGGCATTGCACCAGGGGCCTATCAGCAGATGCTTGTCACCTGTTGCTTTGTGTGACAGGAGCTATATGGCCTATAGGTTAAAAGGCACCTGCAGGTAAGGTAAGTTTCCTGGCAGAAGACCAGAACAGGGCCAAAGCAGGGAGGAGCCCTAGTGCTCACCTGGTTCAGCCTTGTTCACAGGTGGAAGATGCAGGTCTGGATGGGTGACGCCTCAGCCCCCGGTGAAGTTCTGGCAGAGGCAGGATTGGAAGGGTCATGGTCTAGTGAATATTGAGCGTGTGGTTGCTTTTTAAGGCAGTTGCATAATAGTGTAAATCAAATACAGTATTTGTATGTTTTAAAACTAAAACCAAACATTTGCAATAAAGTTTGCGCATCTGTTGAACAGGAACAAACACCCTGCCCTGCTTCCTCACACAGTCTGTTAGGTAGTTCAAGTCAAATTTGTCAGCTATGGGAATATCTTTGAGAGCTGTGTATAACTCTACAATGCACAGAACAGCTCCCTGCATAAAGAATTACCGAGAGAAACTCTATAAAAATATAGAGAGAATACTGGTATTAGGAAGACATTTCCTCTCTAAAAACATATGTATTTTCTTTGAAGATAATCCATCCCTCTGGAGCAGAGAATATACTACCTTGGATACTTACAAATGAATAGGGAAACCCAAAACAAAGCAGATGTTGAAAGTGGGCAAGGTGTCACATGTGATTTTTTTTCTGTATAATGTTGTTGTATTTTGGTATTACTGACCTGACACTCAATATGAAATTCTACTCTAGGTCACTGCATTTATGACCTACTGGTAATCATAAGTCTGGTGGTTGCCTTGTTTATATATTGACTTACAACTTTACAGGATGTAAAGAACTTGTAACAATCACTTCGTGTTTCCACTGATTGTACTCAAACACATCCAGAGGGAGACATGTGTCTCTGCTACATTTATGTTTCTATAAAAATGGTAGTTATTCACTCAACAAACTCTGAATGTACCAGGACCATTGCTTATGGCCAGATGGACAAGAAGCTTATGCTATAGGACAGGAAAAAATTATTTTCCTGGTGAAACTTTAGCAAACACCTCAGTGTGAAAAAGAACGTTTTCAGACAAAACCTTTGCATTTGCTCTCTGATGATTCCATTTTCCTACCAGCCACATCAAAGCATTTGCCAAGTTTTATTGATTCAGCTGCTCAGATGTATCTGACATTTGGCTTATTTCCTTCCCCTTTATCTTCTTTGCCTTTATTATTTTGGGTTCTTAATGCCCCTCACCTAGAAATCTAGCACTTTGATTAGTTTCTTGGCCTTCTTCCTCTTTCTTCCCCTGTGTTTTACACATGAAGCACCTGAGAGAAAGGTTGTGATCTTATCACTGCCCTTTCAGTGGCTCTGTTGATTGCAGAATTAATAACAGTCATCATAATAGCTAACACTTACTGCATTTTTTCTTTTTTTTTTTAGTGTAAAAAAATATGGAACTCTGCAGGAATTTGCGTGTCATCCTTATGCAGGGACCATGCTAATCTTCTCTATATCATTCCGATTTTAGTATATATGCTCCCAAATAATTCAGGCACTAAAAGCTTTGTTGATTTATTCAGTCTTCACACTGACCTTATTCTGAGAAGGGACTGTGGTTGTCAGTGTTTTTGCCTATAGTAAAATGAATGCATGGAAAGGTTAAGTTGGTTGGTCAAGATCCATCTGGTTCCAGACTTGAGCCTTAAACTTTGTGCATCTCTGTACAGAAGGTAAATGCTACCTGGTGGGCTTGCTAAACTCATGTGTTCTCAGTTCACCTTTCCAGATGCATCTCACTGTTCCCATGGACTTGTGCCATCTCCCTTAATCAGACGAGGCAGTAAGGTTCAGGGAAGGGTGAGTGGCACATCCAAGGCGCATGGCCAAGAAATGGTAAACTGGCTTAGTCCCAAGTACTCTTGCCCATAAAGCCCTCCTCTTCTCCTGACACCACGCACACTTTACATCTAAAGGGACCACCTTAAGACGCGTAGGTTCCTCATTTTTGGAGGTCTCCAAAAAGAGACCAAAGACTATTGTCTTTATATAATTCGTTCAGCCTGTATTGATTTGCTACGATGGATTAAATGCAATATGGATCTAAGATAGTGTTGCTCCCCTGAAGGTACTGAGTCAGGAAGAAGTTGTCAGCATTGGTTGGATCGATGGCCGTTAAGAATCCTGCTTGCCACTGTGTGGTACCCAGGGGACTGTTGATGTCCCCTTGCTTGGGCTTCTCACTCTATCGTAGGTGGTTAACCCAGGTAGAGGCCATACTGTGACTTGGAGCTCCTTATTTAATAGGTCTTAAAACAAGGGTGGAAAAAACAAAACTATGATCATGTCTAAATGAGGCTGTAACAAGGTTACTATGACATGGTTTAAAAAGACTAAAATAAGCCCAGAAGCTCTTGAGTTTTCAATGTAACTAACAATTTATATTTTAAATTAAAAAATAAAAATGTTTTTCTAGAGTAAATACAAATGATTCTGAATCCCTTTCTTGAACAAATAGGAAATTTTGATGTACAACATACCAATATGGGTCTTGGTTTTCCTTTTTTTTATTAAAGCACAAAATTTTAGACTTAGAAAATTTCTTCTGAACCATTCCATCCATCACCATCATCTTTTTCTTTCACTTCTTTCTTTCTTTGCCTACTTTACCTTCTTCTTTACAACTTTTCCTCCCCATGTCGTAATGGTAGTAAGGTACCTGTACATGATGCTAAAGTTTACAAAATGCTGATAAAATTCTCATTTACCTGTCCAAACAAATCGGAAGATAACCAGGAAGGGGCTTGTTTTCTTATTTTACAGATAGAAATGAGACCCAGAGTTGTTAATTGAGACACGTAAGACCTCGTAAACAGTAACTGCCATGAACAAATCTACTTAGAGAAACTCACTACCAAATACGCAGCTTGCTGAGGCAAAAACTGCATTCTTTCTGAAGGCTAAGCAAAACTAGGGCAAGGTTGCTTTGTGGTACTGTTGGAAGAGCATATTTTTGGAGTCAGATGGTCCTGGGTTCAAATCTCAGCTCTTTTCCACTCTTCTTCCTTGATTCATCGAGGAGAGCATCATCCATCCACTGCCTCCATGGGCTGCTGCCTTCCCGCACATGAGGAATATGTGGTAAACACGGGAGATGGACATGCTACTTCAGTGAATTAGCTGCTTGGACACAACTGTAGTCATGGATAAGACCCATAGGATATAATGAAATATTAGGTAAAAAATGCTACAAAAAATAAAGTGGGATAAAGCAATGACATGGCAGGGGTGATGGCAGCCTGAATGACATGATATGCTTCAGGTAAGGGAGTCTGGAAAAGTCCAGGATGCAACCTTTGGGTGAGGACATAGTGAAGTAAGAGATTAAATCATGCAAGCATCTGAGGAGAAATACAGTGGAGAGTATGTCTCAGAGCTGAAGCTCAGTTCAGTCACCTGAGGAGCATCAAAAAAATGACACCAGGCCCCACCCTAGGTATTCAGATTTAATTTGCCTGGGCTGGGGCTTTTGTGGTCCTTTTGGGAAGCTCCTGCCTTCATGGATGGTTGGGTTATTCTGATATTGCATTTATTGTGTATGTTCGAAGTTCTTCATAATAAAATGTTATTAAACAACAACATTAAAGCTTCCCAGGAAATTCAAATGAGCATGCTGGCTTTTGAGGCAGAAGAAATATTGAGGGCTGGCCCCTGAGCCAGGCTGTTCTTGCCTTGTTCACTGGACAGAGACAGAAGACTGACAGCACTGGAGTGAGTGCAGCTGAGGTTGAGTGGCCAGGGT